AATGTACATTTAAAATAAGAAAACAAACAATTGCATTGTTTTATTTCAAGTGTGTATTATCTAATTATCTTATTTTAAGAGTAAAAACAATCATTCCATTGACAAATCATCTTATGTACCTACTCAAATTCCTGGTAAATACACTTAATTTAAGAAATGTTGACTTCTATCTCAATAGGTTTTGCAGTGTGGAGAGATTTTCTATATTTAACAGATCCCCTGAACTTAGTGTTTGTAAAGAGACAAAGCATGGAAAAGGGTTAAGTGTTATGGATGGATATTCTTCACGTATGTCATTATTAATTCACTCTATTTCTAAAAGAACAAATAAAAGAACAGTGAATTTCAGCATAATCAAAGTCAACAATTCCACCTACTTCAAAGCATCCATTTTTATGTTTTGCTTATAATGGAGATATGGAGCCTGAGTTGGAGATAACCAGATAAACTTGGTGGGTAACACTATATCGCACCCATCAGCTGGTTTGTTTTGGGGCTAAAACCTGACATCTCATTTCAGTTCTGCCCTCTCTGGTTACCTTGTGCACAAACTACAAAACTCCTACTCTTAAGACACCTTGTTTAAGAAGTTCTAGGCATGTCCAAGAGCATAAGCTGAAAATCAAACTCATAACTGTATTTTTTTTTAATTAAGTTTATTCAAAATTGTATGATTGAGTTCATAAGAACTGTTGGCTTTTTTATTATCCAGTTTTTGCTCAATCCTAATTAACAATAAACATTTTGTATACACAACGTTGAATCAGTGTTTATGAATACCAAACGTAGAAAAACTATTTTAAATCATATTGATGAAAGCAAGACATGTGTCTGAATAAATAATGTGCCACATACTGCGGTAGATGTCGATAATCTTTCTCTCTTAGCTCTGATCCCTCACGGAACCCCAGAATAAAACAGAGGAAGGATCAATAGTTATTAGCTGTTATCTAATAGGACTGCTGGTTAAACTGGAAATGATTGGTTGAGGTACATTTTTAATGACGCAACAGAAGGAAAAAGTCTTACTTATACGTGTGGAAATTTCTTTATATTTGGAACTTCATTTGAAAAAAAGTTAAAATTGTGCCACAAGAATGTTTCTGTATTTAGACTACATCCATTTGACAAGCTACTGGCTTTCTGGCTAGTGTCTTATCACACCTTAACACATTAAGCAGGAAACTGCCCGAAAGGATTAACAGCAAATCAGCACCAATCCTCACAGCTATGATTTTTGTGTGATACTGGCTCTGGTTGAGGTTCTCCTCATTTTCTCACGTCGCACAGCCGTTTAGTTGTTTGCCGGCTTGTTACACAAGACGCAGATGTTTGAGTTAGCCTCCATTATCTAGTCTGTGTGTTTTTTTAGGAGTGTGTGCATACAGGGTGTGTACAGGGGAAAATGGATGGTCTTTCTGAGTTCTGCAACTTCTAACATAATTTCAGGATTTTTTTTTTTTAAGATTCAGACATCAGATAAATTAAAGGAGATTTGAGAGGGGAGAGTTTTAAAATCAGGTGAAGAGTTGCCCTGAAAATGGCTTGGACTGCATCTTTGTCAGAAGGGGCTTTATTACTGTTGATTTAGATTCAGTTCATACAGCTGATATAACAAGTAATTCTAATGTTTTGCTGCAGTACATCTACATAAAATTATTTTTTAGGATTTTTCACTTTACATTTGTGAAATTATAACCATCTATTTCAATATCTTTGAATTTGTTTTTATTGGTTTTAGTTTGTTGATTGCTAAAACAATATTGAAAATAGAGGAACATGTTTTCTGATTTTAAAGGTTATAATGGACAACAACATTCATACCTAGGAGTAGGCACACATATCATTATGCTTGTGTAACGTGAGACTAAAATCTAATGTTTTGGGGAACATGCAAAGTAAGGCACCTTACACAGGCTGAACAATATCCCCACTTAAAAAAAAAAAACATTCTTCAGAAGCAATGGAGAAGGTGTTGAAGTTGGATTGAGATTCATGAGGAAGTCTGTAGTTTGTACCGCATACCTGAAAAACACCAACTTCTACTTCCAGCCGCCACAAACAGTAGAGGAAATCCCCGAAGAAGTGACCGGGCCTGAGGCAGCTGTTGCTGGATTCCCAGTGACACCACACTGCCAGTATGAGGGAGTCTGAGCGCCTCCAACACAAAGTAATATTTTAAGGCAGGATCAAGTCTCACCTTAATGTGGACATGCATCAAAAATGTAGCAGCAGATTTGCTGCTCAAATTGTGTGCAGTGTGAACGTAGCATTAAACATCCAATCTACCTAAACGTGATGCACCACAACAATACAAGTTACTCCTGGAGGGAAATCTGTTAGGGTGCAAAGAAATTGGTGGAAGCTAACCTTCAGACAAGACATTGAGCTTAAACATACAACACAGGCAAAATAGTGGGATTGTGTGAATGTGACTGGATGCCTGTGAATGTTTTTTTTTTTTTTTTGGTCAGGTTGAGTGGGACATTCGGGTTTACATACCCTCCCAGTTAAAAAAAAATATTAATTCACACTAGTAATTCAAATACAGTAGCACAAAACTGGAAAAAAAAGCATTTAATAAATGACAATTTAGTAAAATAAAATGTTGATTTTGAATTTTTCATAAAAATAAAAAAAAAAATCTAAAAAGTAAACTGTCCCAAACAAATGAAAGTTCCATGCTCCTGAACAGTGAACCAACGTACCTGTCAAAAGGTGCAGAAGTCTGAACAGTACAGAAAACATCTTATTTCACTGATTGCCTCAGTGTTGCTCAGCAATATTTCAGTTCAGGAGCTCCATCAGGCTTTTTTACTTGTTTTATTTTTTTTTATATACACATGTATTTAGTAGGGCTGCAACTAATGATTATTTTGCAAATCGATTAATCTGGTGATAATTTTTTTCCATTAATGGATTTATAATCAGATAACAAAAAGTTCCTTAAAGTAGATTTTTTACAAAATTATCCAGGTAAAACTAAAACTTTTAGACTTGTGGAGTTCTGTAAAGAATATTTTAACTAACAGAAGTTTTTGTTATCTTAAATGCAAAATGTTTACTTTTTTTCTCTTTTACAATCTTGGTATAATTACTCCTCTTAGTGGCTCGCTCTGTCAGCTAAAGGCATGTTTGGGAGTCTCTATACTCTGGCTAACCATTAATGGATTACTAAATTAGTTTACAATTATTTCAATAATCGATTAATCAGGATTAATCTGATGAGTTGTTTCAGCCCTAGTTTTTACATATTTTTTATTCAAAATCAGTATAATTTCCGTTTTTATCAATTTCATTTGTTATTGCTTTTGTCAATTTCAATTTATTTTACTGACAAAAGATTTTTCTGTCTTTAAGGGAAGGGTATGTAAATTTTATAGCACAACTCTATATAGCCGTGAATAAGATTGTGTAATCTTCATACTTTTTACTTTTGATATCTGCACATACATGTTAATATTTAGTACTTCTTCTTTTGTTGTGGGATTTTTTGAGTATAAAACAAAAAACAGAAACATGAGACAGGAGAAATGTATCACAAATAATCCCAATGAAATACAGTTTTGGCAAAGTTTGTAATGTGAAAAAAATGCTAAAATAAGAACATTTATTCAAGGCACTTTTTATCAGTAGATATACATTTTTCCTGATGAGTTGTTGAAGAAATTGCTTTAAATTTATCCCTCCTATTGTTGCACCACTTGCACTTGCAGTACCTGGTTCTCACAAAGGTAGTCACAACTGTTTGTTATTTTTTATATATAGAGCCCTTAAAAAACAAATTGACATAAGGTGCTCAAACTTTGAGTCTTTGTCCCATTTACAACCCATAGGAATGAATGAAGTAAAGCTGGAAATGAAAGAGAGGATGACTGGTAACATGGAAACTAGGCACTTTGTCACAACTGCATGTGGTGATTTGGCTTCAAGCTATTTATTGCTTTCTCTCCTGTTTTGGTCAAATCTGCTGATAAAAAGCCAGCTAACCGAATAACATCGCAACATTTAAAAAATTTGGCAAAGGCCTCCTGGCAAACACCTTCTTATAAGAACAGCAACAAAGACTGATGTGCCAGTTACCAACTCCCTCTCACCCACCCCCACAACTACAGTGTGACGCTCAGCTTAGCTTAGCCCGGAGCCGTGTTATGAGCCGAACCCCACTGCAAAGCATCCATCACTGAGGATCTAGCTCAGGCTTAAGCAAATGGATGACAAGGGATAGGAGGCAGTCGGCAGCTAATACTAGTTCACTGTATCGCATTGATTTTCCCTGCCGTGGAGAACCCTGTCAATAACAAGCTGCAACATGAAAGGAAAGCATCCTGGCCACTCTATATTAAACATTTTATCTGGTGGTGGTTGTGCTCTGGATGAAAAAGAAAGCCTGTGTTTATGTGCAGCGGGAATCAAAATTAATATTGTGTTATTTAAGGCAAAATGTTGCAATATGTTGCAATTGGTTTTAAAGTATCTTAGCATAATTAAGATAGCATTATCATCTCTTTTTTTTGTGATTACTCAAGATTATTTAGATTGGAGATGATTTTCCCCAGCAGTCATGTAGTAGCAGCTGAGTTCCCTCTGTGATCTAAATGCTCTTTGATTATGTCATTTATTTGATTGCAGTTTGTGACCCAAGCCCAGAAAACAAAATCAAGTTGGCTCACACTTGTATCTGCAATTTTTTTGTTTTTTTTGTTGCTTCCCCATCTCTTGCTCCCACTATCTTGGTCTCTCATGCACACGCATTTGTGGCAAGTGACTATTCCATTTAGAGAACTGTCAGAATATACCCTGTGAGCACATCAGGCTGTTCCTATCCTCTGTCAGCTCCAGCCGAGGCTGTGCGGGGGTATGTCAGAAATGTGCAGGGATAGATAAAACCTGTGGAGCCAAACAGCTTTGTTTCATTCATTTTCTGTCTCTCTCCCATCTTGCCTTCCTTCCCTACTCCATCTTCTTCCTCCATCCTTCCCTTCCCTCGCCTTGCACAGGCTGTGAATACCCTGCATCTGAGAAATCAGACCAGACTGACTCACAGGGCTCTGTGAGCCAGTGCCACCGAGGCTGCCAAAGCATGCTGGTGCCAAGCTGTCCCACCATGCACAGAACCAGACCCACGCTGCTGCTGCTGCCGCCACTGCTGCTGCCTCTGCTGCTGATCCAGGGTCTGCTCCTCCACCTCGCCGACGCTCAAAGTAAGTGGACCGTATGCCTTCGGGTGGGGCTGGGGGTGAGGGGGTGGGCCGCTGATTTGGATGTTCTGTTTCCCAAAAAAACACAAACACAAAGAATCACTAAAATGCACTCAAACATTTCCACTGTGTTTTTAAATGAAAATATTCCAGGTATAAAGCTATAGAAACCATCTTACACCCGCCAGACAAATAATCGACTCTTGAATGTCTTGAAATTTCGTTACTGGGTAAAATTTTATCATGTGCATCAAAATGTCTGTATCCCTACACCTTATAAATCTATTCTGAAAGATGCACTAAATATCCCATAATGATCAAGAAAAGGTAGTTATGTAAATTTGCATTCACACACTTTGCTATTGTAAATGTGGTTCATTCATTCTGATCTAGATTTAACAAACTGGTGTAAACAACGTCACTGTTGCCAGAGTGTATCGGAGAATAACCAAAACAACAAAGTTAGATGACTCAAAGACCAAACCATTTCAAATGAACAATGTGCTAAAAGAACAAAAAAATAAAAATAAATGCCATAGGAAATCCCAAATAGCACTATTATTCAGACACAAACTAGGTTTAGAAACAACTAGTGTTGTAGTCAAGACCCCACCAACAGAGACCAAGGAGTACCAAGAACAAAACAAGGCAAATGCCTTTAGTGGTTGAGACCAAGACAAGATCAAGACATTAAGAGGCCAAGAACAAGACAATACCAAGAACATGTAAGGTCTTGGTCTGTCTTTCTCTCAACCTCTAAAGGTCTTGACCTTATCTCGGTACTCCTTGTTTTCGGTTGGTGTGGTCTTGATTATAACACTAGAAACAACAAAACCTTTTCTAGATCTCTGAGTAATCAGAGAAGTACCTCGGTCAGACAGAGAACCTTATTAATATATAAGAGCTTCTCTACCTTCAAGGAGAAAAAGTCAACCGTTGCTTATACACTCTGCCAAACATGCCTTAGAGGTTGGATAGTCAGAAAGGAGCAACTTTTCACTCAAATATGCATGGCATACTATGTTCATGAAAACATAGGGAAAAAAAAAAAGGTGATGAACCTTACCTGTGATAGAGGGCAGCCCTGTCGGAGTCCCAACATGCCCTGGGAACAGGTCTGACTTAATCAATGCAATGCAGACAAAACTGCTGCTCCACAGGGTACCATGAGGGACATGGTCCCAGTGGTCCAAGTCGACAAAACACATATAGCCTGTCGGGCAAAGTCCTAAGCAACATAGGGCAGCCTGCAGAGATAGTAGAGCTGGTCCACTGTTCCATAACCAGGATGAAAAATCACACCAATCCTTCTGAAACCGAGGTTCGACCATCAGCCAAACTCTCCTCTCCAGGACCCTGGCAAACCACTCCAGCCAGGAATAGCTTTCAGGATCTTCTTGGTGCAAACCAAAAGTGTAAACAACTGCTGACCAGTGATGTGGAGTGAGTTTTTGAGGAGCTCATTATACTCCAAATCACTCTGCCTTTCAATGTTTTCGTCATAACACCACCAAATATGAAGAAGAGAGATTACTTGTTGCCCTTATTCTAGATTAACATTAGGAGGACCTATAGAAAAAAAGTTTGGGATATTTGGTTTTGCATATTAGTTAACTGTTGGCTCATTCGGTAGGGCAATTACTCAAAGAAGCTGATATTAGCTGGTTAGAAAGTTACAGTCTCTCCTTTACTAGCCATCATGCAGTTGGTTACAGACATATTCATTGTTAATTCAAAATGAAATTAATGAAGGTGATGTCTAGTCCTTTTTTATTTTAAACACCTTGATTGGCTTTGTTATTCTCACACAATTAGAGAGAAGTGTTTTGCTTTAACTCCATACAGACATAAAAAGCTCTTGCCTTTTTCTAGTTCTTTAGTAAAAGGACTTAAAACCATATAAGTTGTGTGTGCCGGTGACGAAGTGGTTAGCACACACGACCCATGTACGGAGGCCTTAGTCCTCGACGTGGCCAACCCGGGTTCGAATTCAACCTGTGGTCCTTTGCCGCATTTATCTCCCCCTCTCTCATGCCCCCTTTCCTGTCAGCCTACTGTCAGAAAAACGAGCCACTAGTGCAGTGAAAACTAAAAAAAAAACATATAAGTTGTAGACAGAACATTTTACTTTTGCAACTGGGTAAAACTAAATCCTCCACCAGCAAATCCCTATTATAAAGTATAGTTTTTTAGGAGAGCAATTAAAAAAATGTTATTTTATAGGATGTTGATAATTATTAGAGGAGCATTGTAGAAAGTAATTGCCTAAAGAAAAAATCTGCTAACACCTCTACGCCATCTTAGATAGTAGGGCTGGAAATGCTCATTATATGTGCTTCTCTCTTTAAACTAATCTATATTTCACACTGACCAAAGTTTTCATCTCACTGAAGCTTAAAATATGTTCCTGTTCTCTTTCTCTAAAACCCCCATTTATTTTTATTTTTTTTTTGTTCGACCTGAGCCAAGAATATCACACTGAGAAAATTTCTGAATTGAGTTACTCTACATCAGACACCTGCTCAGTGATGTGTGACAACAGTTTTCAAACCTCATTGAGCTTTGGTCCTACACCAAAGATCCCCCAACACCCCCCCCATTCCACATCCTCATCCTCCTTTTTTTTCCAACAGGGAGATCCATGAATCATTAGCTCCATAGTGAGATGAATAAAAAATTTTATTGCTCCCTTTTGCAATGAGTGAAATCCCCCCTCGGTTCGGCCGAATGTCTCCAACTGACTGAAGGGATAATTCGCCCAAGGTCATATACAACGGAGCTACACAAAGTGAAATTGATGGGTGAAATTTTCAACTTTGTGCTTGAGAAATGTTCCCTGCAATCTGTTCAAATGGGATTTATTTTTCCTCTCCCCTTTCTTCCTGCTACATATGTTCCTCAGCAGGATAGGGAAAAGCAAAGTGTTACCAAGTATCCCTTGTTTTATGTTCTGAAGAGAGGATTTACAGATAGGCTCTTGTTCATGGGAACTTTCTTAACAAAATCCTATCCTTTTATATTGCAAAAGGTTAATTCTAACTGGTCCACTTGAGACAGTTCAATCATGTTCTTGAACACAGGTACATCACTTGCCATCCAGTACCTTGGCATGGCGACTACTTGTACCAAGATTTGGATGTTGTAAAATAACTCTAGTCGAGGAGTTTTCACACAATATAATTTAATCAAACTAAGATGATGTTTGTGTGATAGGAGAGTTAAAGCATTTGGGAATGACCACAATTCTGCTTAAAAGGGGTAGGTTTCAAAAAATTGTAGAATAAGTGTAGAGTGTATAGGTGTGAACCATCTGCTGATTTGATAGTTAAAACCCTTTGTGGCCTTCAGGTTAGCTCACAGCTTTGTAGAATGGCCCTTGCCAGCTGCATCTAAGCCATTCAGGGTATAAAGCATGCAGCAACTGGGTCCTCGTGCAGTAAGGAGGTATGCTTTGGGATGAGGAATTCATTTTGGCTTGCCCTGACAAAGTCTTGCAATTAGCGGGAGAATTGCTCTCACCTCAATCTGTTACTTGTATTTTCCATTTCTGGTCACCTTTGAGATAATCTAGAGCAGAAACTGCATGCAAGGACTCTGTTTCCAACTTCAGTGTCTGACCTCACCAATGTGCATGTGAATGATGGTTAAACAAATCCATAAAAATACTCTTAAACCTTCTGGAAAGCCTGTTCTAGACAATAGTAGCAGCCAAGGGCCTGCTGACCTTACATTTACATCTATGGATTTAGGTTGTTATACCACTCAAGTTTCTATACTGTATGTGCAAGGAACATGACCAAGTACTTGTGGCAACATGTATACATATATTACATTATATTATATCCCAGTTTAAATTGACATTACAGCTGCTTGCTTTCAGACATTCCTTTGCTGCATATGAGCCCAAATGTAACAGAAAAACTGCACAACTGTACTTGGCACCAACCCTAGAAAAAACTCCCCAAAAACCTGCAGCTAATTTCCTTCCTTAAGCTGTCTGACCGCCTGCAGCTGCCGTTACCCCCACATTCTGCTTTAAACAGCTGCACTGGGTTACAGTTTCCATGCCAAGACAAACATTTCATGAGTGGAGTCGTTGCAGTGACTGTCTGTCTGTGAGTAAAGGGATGTTGGAGTAGGGTCATGAGGGTGAGGTGTGTGGGTCCTGTCTGAAACACCTTCATTAGCCAAAGATATGTCCGGTAATGAAGAAAATTGGTAGATTTACTTTTAGTCTCTAGTTGCTGTTATTGTGCTTCCTGATCTCCCAGGATTTGTAGCTTTCTTCTTTCGTTTTTCTTCCCAAAAACTTTCTTGCCAGTTTACTAATTTTTTCTTTGTGTTTTTTTTTTCTTTGTAGCTCCTGTTTTTTCCTGCCTGCTTCTTTGTTTTCCTAATTTGTTCTTTGTTCGGCTGTTTTGGATGCCCCGCCATAGCCCCGATCCAGCAGCTCACAAGAGCATTCATTTCCTCAGCTGTTCCACTGCATAATCATATCCAGCCCAGATGAGTTGAGGCTTTCTCTTTATGTGTGAAGGACCATGATGCTCTGAAATTTGACAGTGTGTCTAAAGGGAAACAGTGCCAGGTCCATTTGGGTGTGAGTAACCCTGGAGGCAGAATCTGCCTGCGCCACAGATGGCCCAATCCTCACTGCAGTTTTCATCTTTCAGCTCTCTTTAGAAAATGGCTAAATACTTATTCAGTGATTATTTTGAAAAATGACTCCAGCAATATTTGGGAAAAAAGTAAACATACTCCAACTTTTAACTGTTAAATCTTTACATAAAAAAATGTATTCAAGGTGGGAATGGACTAACGTGTTCTCAAAAAGCCTGTGTAACTAATTACCTCCAGAAGTTACCTTATAACTAAAAGAAAATATGAACACGTAATTTATCTTTATTATAAATCCATTTGCACTCTGTAGACATTAGATGTTTCTTAGAAAACTTGTGAATTATTGAACTCCAAAGAGGTTGTAAAACTTTATTCAAAGTATT